GTGGTGATTTTTTGTTTTTCCCCCTCATTGAACTCCATGCATTTCAATGAGGGGGAAAAACAAAAAATTACCATAAATTAACGAAGTGTCAGAACAACACCAAAATCAGTTTGCATAGGTTTCAGGAGGTGGGCTAACCATTGCAAGCATTTAAAACGGCTTCCAAACATTGTAAGACACTTTTACAGGAATGAAAAAGAGACATCATTGTGTGAAAATCCCCCATAGGAAACATTGCTGTGTGAGGCGGCAAATTTAACAGAAAAAGGCATCGTTGTGTGAATTCATCGTTGTGTGAGGCACCCGTTGTGCGAGGCACCACTGTACTCTATTACTTGGCTCAAATTACTGGAGAAATATGTAAAATAAATGTTAATCTCAGAACTGCTGAACTGGAAGCAACCATATGGATCAGCAAGTACAGCCCCTGGCTCCGAAACCAGATATCTAAACCACTGAACTATCTATCCAGCAGTTTCAAAATTCACATACCCAACCTTCCAAATTCTCCAGATTTTAGCCAAATCATGTGTCTATCTCTGTCCACCACATAATTTAAGCCAGCATAGGCCCTGTAGGTCAAGGACTGCTCTGTCATGCTCCACATTCCACTTGCACAAGTCAATTCTGATTACTTACTGCAGATTCCTCATTCAATGTCTGCAGCATCCAGTTCTCTAGTGACTGGAAGTCTCGAGGCCCTTGGTATTTGGCAGCATCTTGGCCTGGTCTAAGCAGTTTTAGGCTACAAATGCAAGAAGATAATAAAGCATGTATTTTCAAGGTTATGCAAACTTGAAACATCCTGAAAACAATATTCACTGAATCATAACATATCTCAAAGGAAATGCCTCACAATCATAATTTTCTTAATTATAATTTGTTGAGTTCTGTTGCATTAAATAGCACAGCATAAGATTTTGCAAATGAAGCTCTCAGGCACTGCTCAATAAACTTGATTCTTTGCTTTTACGTTTTATTCATGTTAATAACAGCAAATGGAGCCTGTATATACATTCGCTATCCAGAAAGCATACTAGTATACATTTTTCAGTTCTGAAGCAAGCTATTACATAAATCAATTCTTTAAGCTGCCAGCCAATTCAGGAAAAGCTGAGCCGGTGCCTATGATGTCATCTAAAAGATCTCCTTAAATCCCTGGAACAGTTGTTCTTAACTTTGAAAAGTTTATGTTTTTTTCTAGGTAACATCAACAGGGAGTGTGTGCAAATACAGATACTATTTTAAATAGGGAAGGGGGAGACGACTGTAGCCTGAGTTACGAAGAAGGTAAGACACAACTGATCCAGATTATTTCACCTGCAAGGAAATTGCAAAGCTAAGGTGTCATGCCAGAAAAGCCCACTGACACAGTTCAAGGAGTCTTACATACATGTCACCAGTCTTATTAAGAGTACAGGAATGTTATTTTAAGTTCACAGCTAAAGAAATCCTGAAAGAATAAAACATTTTAAAAAAACAGAATACTATCTGTTCATACATTTCAAGTGAAGTCCTTATTCCCTGCATTTTTCCAATAAAACATCAGGCATAAATACTGAACTGAAAAACTGTCAAACTCAAAAGTTCAGTCCGGCCAGGCTGGGGTTCTATGTGCCCTACAAAAGGAAGGCACTCCTTAATGAGAGGTTATCCCTGCATACTTGTCTAATACAATGATTTCTTCAGATGTCCTTGGATAAAAACTTCTAGAAACCTTCACCATTAGCTGTAGTGGTCAAGATTTCTGGGAATTGTAGTCCAAGAACATCTGGGGATCCAAGGTTGGGAACCACTGGTCTGACAGGCTGCTACTGCCAAAAGGTACAGAGGGATCTTTGAAAGCATAGGTTGAACTTCCAGGTTTCCTTACTCATTCTGTTCCCGATTTAGAAACAAAATATACCTAGAAGGAGTGAAATGCTCTGTAATTACTGGGTCAGATCAGACATGGTTCATTTATCCCAGCCTAATAGGGCAATTCAACTTCCTTCTAACAGCTATAAAACAGTCACACCAACTTTACACTGGCGCAGCTGTTCTTAAGACAGGTATAAGCAAACATATGGGTGGGGATTCATTATAGTTTTCTGTTTAACTCCAGAACAGGAGTAAGAAAATATCCAGCATTCCTATATTGGCATATTGCTTTTATTTACCTGTGCAAAAGGATTTAAACCAGTGGTGTCCAACCTTGGCCCTCCAGATGTTCTTAGACTACAGACTATAGTTTTCTGTATAACTCCAGAACAGCAGTAAGAAAATATCCAACATTCCTATATTGGCATACTGCTTTTATTTACCTATGCAAAAGGATTTAAACCAACATGTAATATAAAGAAGGCTTTTAAAAACTACAACCAGCAGGGCCAAGGTTGGACACCACTGATTTAAACCAACATGTAATAGTAAAGAAGGCTTTTAAAAACTACAACCAGCTGGATGAACTCTTGCTAGCTAAAATACCCAAACAGAAGATAGATTCTAAAGGCACATCATGTAGCATACATTGAGCAGGAAGCCCTGTCATAATTTAATGTTTAACCACAATGTTGTAAAAGAAAGCACATAAACATAGTTGCTTTTTCAGGTTGCTGTGATTTACAGGGAAGACACAAAGTACTCAACAGTCACAATATTATTTTACACATACGTTGGGTATCCTTTGATGCCAAATTCAGAACAAAGTGGAGAATCTGTTGTGCAATCTACTTTCACAACATAGACCTGTGGGTTTTCCATGCCGTTGTATTTGTCCGCAAGTTTGTTCCAAGTGGGTTGTAGACGCTGACAATGCCCACACCTGGGATTGAAACACACAAAAAAAACCCTCACATGAATATTCTGGTGACAGATGCTCCTCATTATTTTGAATTCACCTTCCTCTATCACAGAAACTACTAAAATGGAGGGTTTTTGCTTTAATTTTATTTGTATTCCCCGACCCACCCTCAATTCCCATCAAGCATATGGTCTGCTGTGAGCAGAACCTTTGTCTAACTTTAATTTTTGAGGCAGTGTTCTTGGCAAGCGTGTTCTGAAGCTTATCAAGAACGTTTCAACAATAAGACAATGAATGGCATACAAGATCTGAAAGACAAGGTTATTTTCTCTTACTGCTAATAAGTGTTCCAGCTGGTAGAACAGGGGTGGCAAATATACAGCCCTCCAGATGTTACTGAAAACTTTCCAGATGTTAGCAGCATATTCAATAGTGAGGGACAACCGGACTTGCTATCCAGTGATATCTGGAAGACCATCCATTTCCCAGTCCCATACTAGAGAATACTTCCTATGGTCTCAATTCATGTAGGATGAATGTGATGACCAAGATCCCCAAACAACCCAGGAATATTTGTAGGATTCAGCAGTTCCCTCACACACAACTAAGGGTGCTCCTGTATAATATGAAAGTTTCAATAAAGATGGAAAGTTTGAGAACTTTTTCATTTTTGCTATTCTTACTCTTACAAGTTGGTGACAAAGACTCGGTAGCTGTTTTCCATAACCTGGTGCCCTCTAGAAGTGGTAGACTACTCCCGTCATTTTTTCTCTACAAGGTTACCTGTCTATTCCTAAATGTCTGATAGGATTGTAATTGTTTTCTAAAGACTGGGATTATATCCATTACTTATTCTTATAATTGTTTATGAGCAGGTGTAGATCTGGATTTGAAATAAATTCTTCTGAATTTCTGAACTTTTATATACTTAATACTGTAGGACACTTTGGCTCTTCAGTTCCTCTTACCTAATTACACAGGTGTAGTAGAAATAGTGTAAATGTTGGAGATGAAGCACCTTATGTTAAGAAATCATCACAGACATTAGCAGTTGCATATTGAGCAATGTGACTCACTGTGCAACTAACAATGTCAACATGATTTTTTAATGGAAGTTTGCTTCCAAATGTTATATCATTTATGTGGCTACTCAAGAGGATTTGGGCCACTTAGTTTTTCTTAGAAAAAAGTATATAATTAAAATAACAGTAACAACCATCAAAGTCTAGTACAGTATTACGATTTATGTAAATAGTGTATGTATACAGTAATTAAAACAACAGTAACAACCACCAAAGTCTAGTTTGATTTATGTAAATGGTGTAGATCTATGGTCCACTCTTTCCTTTCCTTGGTGTGAAGGAAAAGTGGTTGAAAGGAGTGCACCGTCTCCTCCAGAGAACAAGGATGTGGTGATCTAGGAAAAGGAGAAGGAAGTGAAAGAGCAGGGAGTGAAAGAGGAAAGGGTTAAAGTAGAAGTTTGCCTGATAGAAGAGGGGAAGGGAAAGGTGGAGCAAAGACTGACATGTGGGAGGAAGAGATAAAGGGGCTGACTGGAGAGTGGGATTTTTGGGTCTCAACAAGAGAGAAGGAGAGAGATGAAAAGAAACGCAAACATGCGATTGAACTGTTGAAAGACTTTCCCAATTTGAAGGTGGGATGATTGCTCCCTGACCCGATACCAGAAACAGAGGGAGTGACATTACCGAAACGTCAGAATGGATGATGGTCGTCCTTCCAAGAGGACGAGGTCGCTGGAAGAAGGTGGTGCGCCCAGATCCTTCCTACAACAAACCACCTCCGGAGGGGGATTAGAAGGGAAAGGAGGAGGAGCAAAAGATTGATGTGTGGGAGGAAGAGATACAGGGGGTGACTGGAGAGCAGGATTTTTGGGTCTCAACGAGAGAGGAGAGAGATGAAAAGAAACATGAACATGTGATTGAACTGTTGAAAGACTTCCCCAATTTGAAGATGGAAGGATTGCTGCCTGACCTGATACCAGAAAGAGAGGGAATGACAATTACTGAAACGTCAGAATGGATGGTGGTCGTCCTTCCGAGAGGACGAGGAAGAAGGTGGTGCGCCCAGATCCTACCTACAACAACCCACCTCTGGAGGGGGATTGGGCTCGCCACCCATGTTGTGGCACCATTTGCATGGTATGGAGTGCCCCAATGAGGAATCCAAGAGACAAGGCGCAGTTTGGCCCAGCTCCCCAGTATTGAGAAATGGCATTAGTTATAAAAATCCTATAATGTTTGAGAGACAGTTGTTTGATTGGAATCAAGTTTATCCTACGGAAGTTACTGTTGACACTCCTATATTAGAATTGAATACAGTGGTGCCTCGCTTAAAGAAGGAGCGGTTTGGCCCAGCTCCCCGGTATTGAGAAATGATATTAGTTATAAAAATCCTATAATGTTTGACAGTTGTTTGATTAGAATCATGTTCATCCCACGGAAGTTATTGTTGACACTCCTATATTAGAATTGAATATGTTAATGGTTTAAATGAGTCAGCTGTTTCAATTTCTGCACGAAAATTGGAACTGCCAAAGACTCCTCAAGAACCCAATCACATTTTGCCATCTGTGATCAATTTTGTATTTATCAGATAATGCAAATTATAGTTGTCCCATATTGAGACATGCCATGTCCAAGCAGCAGTGTTCTCAGGCATTTATCACATGCCTTGCCATAACACATCTGCGCCTCCATGACACTTCTTCTTCTATTCTCCACAAACTGAATGAAGCACCTATCCTCTATGCATCCCCACCCAAATGTAACATATGAAGGGAGACACAAGCACTGCACTGTGGGAACAGTAAACGGAACAGCTTTTATGCCATTCAAAAAGAAATGGGAAGATTCTGCCTAAGTACGGAACATACACAAAATATGGCTATCTGCACTTAATCATCATCTTAGAACTGGAGAGCTGGAAGGGACTCTATAGATCGTCCAGCCTCTTTCAGGGAGGAACAGTGAGGAATCAAACTCTCAGCCTCTGGCTCTGCAGCCAGATACCTAAACCACTGATCTATTATGAAGAAGCGAAGAAAAACTCTTATCCTCATACGATTTCACTGAATGTACTTGTTTTTGAGGTGGGGTGAGGACACTGTATAGGGAATGTACACAAAAGAGAGGGTATCAATGTCTCAATATTTTAAAAATGTGACTGGTATACATGTATCATCAGCAGGTTATTAGCTCATCTAACAGCTGCTAAAATTGACCCCAACTGACCAGAGTTTACAAACATTAGTTTTCATGACTATAATCCCCAGAATCCTCTGATCTGCATTGTGACTGGGGGAATTCTGGAAATTATCTTGACAAATACTGTAACTCTTCAACTTTCAGCCATAAGTTTTAAATTGCAGGATTCTCCCTGGCACGGATCAGGCCTTTTTATGTATAGAGTTTGAAAAACCAGTGTTTGAAAATAAATCTAGTGATGACTGAATAATTATCAAGATGACAGTTTATTTTTTACTTGCTATCATAACATAGTAAACATTAACCTTCACAGACTTTTGGGGGGGCAGAGTACTGCTCTATATAGAACTTTGTGCAAAGAGCCAGTAAATTATCTGTCGAGATACATTTTGGCTTTGGAAGGAACTCTTGCTTGCTTCCTTCCTCTAAGGCTGAATCTTAGAGAAAGATATATAACAAGGAAAGATATACTGTACAACAATTACATGGCATAAGGTTGATTCTGACTTATGGAGACTCTTTCCAGGGTTTTATAGATGTAGAATAATCGGAGGTGGTTTTTCACTCCTTCTGGGGTTGATCCAAGACTATATAGCTTGCCCAAGGCTACAAAGGCTAGCTTCCCCCCCCCCCACAAGAAGACACAGTGAGGAATCCAACTCTCAACCTCTGGCTCTGCAGCCAAGAGCTCACACCACTGAGTTATCTAGCATTTATTTCTCAGCATGAAGAGGACTATGTCACTCTGGTCTATTGTAGGAGAAAAAAAATGGGGAGCTTTGCAGAAAATAAAAAGTTGAAATTATGAATAGTACAAATAGCTTGAACAGGCATGGATTCAGACTCAAAATAGAACTTTAAACTACTAATTTATATTTATTTCAGAAGCAGAAGCTGCCTGAAAACAGCCTGAGAACTGCTTTTCTGCAACGTTTTAAGGGTTTTGTTACATGGTTATTGGTTCTGAGTTAAAGAAAAGGGTGTCAATAATGCTTAGAATCAGTTACTCCACACATCCTTGGCCTAGGCCTCAGTAGTATAGCAAACACTGGCAGATTTTTATGAAATACTAACCCAGAATACAGGAGCTGGAGAGAAGAGGTGCGTAATCACATGCACAGAATCCTATACATTTTTGTTGAAAACAGGTTTCTGTATGGAATATGATTTTTCTACTTTGGATGCCTCGGTGGTTTAGGTATCTGGCTGCAGGGACAGAGGTTGGGAGTTTGATTGCCCACTATGCCTCCTTGACAAGGACTGGACTCAATGATCCATAGGGTCCCTCCTACCTCTATGATTCTAGGATGATTTGGTCCTTGATCTGTTGGGATATGAGAATAGGACTGGGCAATGAAAAGGATTCTGTGCAGCAGGAGACATTATTGTGCTACAGGTGCTTGGTATTTTTTTTTTTTTGGAAGTAACATGAAGGATGAGGTTTGTATTTAAATTCCAAATATTTCTTCAATTTGGACATGAAGAATGTAAGAGCCATGCTGGACCATACCGAATAAATGTACAACTGTTGTGCCTAGTAGCCATGATCACTTCACCTTCCATGAATCTGTTTGATCTCCTTCTAAAGCCTTCCATGTTGACAGATATCGCATCTTCGGATTCCAATGTAGACTTGTACGAAAAAGTACTTCCTTTTGTAATGATTTCCAAAAGGGTGGCTATGTTGACATTTTTCTTCAGATATGATAAAAGTAAAACCAGAATTGAAGTATTTTAGCACCTTTAAGACTAACAAATTTCTTCCAGCGTGCTCAGGGATCACACCACACAGGAAACCTCATCCAGCTTGGACATGGAAAGGACTGACAAAGTGGTAACACCTTTTCAATTTGTGTGGATGATGGTCTACAGCTCTAAGCTTGTGGAAGGACCTGTTTGGTATCTTCTGAAAATTTATAAGACTCCAGCATACGGACTAGGTATGCAGCACCCAAGAAAACTGAAATAAATATACCAAGTCTCAGAGGATTAACTTTTCTTAAATTACATTTTAGCTCTGTGAGTTGTGTATCTTCGTCAAGAGTTAATTTCCCACTGTGCCCCTTGGGAGAAGAGCCAGCCTGTATAACAGCCTTATTCTTAGACTGAAACTCCCAGAAGCCTTCACCACTAGCTGTATTGGTCAGGATTTTTTGCGAGTTACTGTAGTCCAAGAACATTTGAGGACCCAAGGTTTGGAACCAGTGCTGTATAACCTCAGGCAAGTTTCACAGTCACACAACACACCCCAAAAGAAGAGAATGGTGAACCACTATGGAGTAGTTTACAGCTAGCAAATAATGGAAATGGCTGCTTTACGTTGAGCTGACAGCAAGTACCTAATTTTATATACTTAACTTTCCTGAATCTAGATGGCCTGTTTCTAGAAAAGATGGGGAAATCTTCCCATTTTATTCTGCTACATCACACATAATTTCAAGCAGCTCTATCATTTTCATAAAGTGGATATTGTTTTTATGTGCTCTCAAGTCAGAAACAACTTATAGTGACCCTAACATGGGTTTCAAAGTGAAATATTTAAGTAGTTTTACCAGTTACACTCTCCTAGTCAGTTTCCATGGACAAACATGGATTTGAGCCCTGTTCTCCAAAGTCCTAATCTGTCATTCTGCCTACACTTTACCACACTGGGAGTGTAGATATGCTTAATGATTTAACCTTGATTCACTTTTTAAAAACCATAAAGTTTCACATATAACCTTTTCATAAGAGAGTTGTGTTGCTTCTTGATCATTCGTTGTTCTTTTCTACATCTTTCCCTGCTTTATATTGTCTTTTTTTAAGGTTCAGTAATCAGAAAGGTACACAGTACTCAAGTGCACTGACAGCAAAGATTTGTGTACAGACATGGTTATCTGGTCGCTGTTTTTTTTTTTAATTACTTCCTTTCTTACTTGCCCCTAAAATGAAATCTGCCTTATTTCCAAGCAGCTACACCATTGGTCAACATTTACACTGAGCTGTCCATATCCTTAACATCTCTTCCCGGATGTCAGTCACTGCCACCTCCAACCCAATGAACTTAGGCCTTTTCTGCCTCAACATGCATTACTAGGTACTTGTTTATACTGAACTCCATTGACCACTTCAATGTCCACTCACCTGTCAAGGATGGAGTTGCTGTTTTTCTAACTACAAGAAGACTCTGCAAACCTCTGATTTTCTGTTCTACATGTTACACTGCTTAGCCTTCTAGCACCATAAGAAGTTATTTATAGTGGCTAATTAGAAGTTTTTCTGCACATTTGTATGTGTGTTCTTAAAGTATTTTAAAATACACACAGAACTGACTTTATTACTGCTGCCAATCACTACCAAGTAACTGTTCCACGTGAATACTTTGCTTTTTCACATTTAATATTTAGACTGTGCTCCATCCTATGGACTGATTAAAGAGGTTTATTGCAATCTCTGAGGGCAGATTCAACCCCACAAAACTTTGGGAGGGGCACATGCTCATGAAGGGCTAAAGGGAAATGGGGCCAAAAATACTAGTATTACACTTTTATTAATTAAAAAAAATCTTTAGAAGGCATCTGAACCTTTCATAATGGGCAAAGATCCCTGCATCAATTGCATAATCACTGAGAAGGGCCCTGGATGGTTGGGGAACCAGCGGGCTGGATCTGAGCTCTTGAGGGGGGCTGGATTCTGTTAAAGTACCTGAAATTTTCTACTGGTGGTTTACTGCAGCCTCATCAATGTGTCTGCATGAGCAGTGTAAGGGTCTACAATGCGTCCACGACAGAGATTATTAGCCGCTTCTAGAATTATTTTCTAGATTTCAGGAGCAAAGGTATCCTCTGCCGGCCGTCGTCTCTCCCACCCCACAAGTTCACTTACACACGCGAGGAGAACATTTTGTCCGCT